TTTTTTTGTTTTGTGCTTGTAATGGTTTGTGATTTAGGTAATTCTTTTCCATGGATTTTAGTTATGATGTATATTTAAGGTATAAATGTTTTCTTTTTTTATTTTTAGTTTAAGATGAATATTTATTAGTTTATTAAATATTTAAGGTGTTAATGTTTTATTTTTTAATATTAGTTTAAGATGAATATTTTATTACTACTTCCGTCCCGCTATGATTGTCTCATCTTACCTCATCGGTCCGTCTCATTAAGATTGTGTCATACCAAATTTGGTAAAATTTCTGTGGCTCTAAATCGTTTTTACTTTATTCTTAGTTTATCAATTCAATATTAATCACATAAATCACTTTTTATTGATTTGCGTGTCACTCCCTCTCGTCTCATTGTTAGTTATAAATGCTCAATTTATACTCATTTATGCACATTTTTAAAATGTCATATCAATGCATGTTTCAAAAGAATTTGATTAATTATATTTTTTAGTTATGTGTATTGATTCGGTACCGGTGTTATGTTCATTTTAAAATTTTATATCAATACAGACGAAACTCATGCGATCAGATTGGAGCTTGCTCACATAATTTTAATGCTCGATAATAGAAAACACAATACTTTTCTTTTGTCTTTTTCTTTTCTTCTTTTCGTTTATTTTGTTATTGTTGTTGTTGTTGTTTTCTTCTTTCTTTTTTCTTTATATATTAAGTACTGAGCACATTAGAAAGGAGTTTTATTTTAAACTCAAATGAGTAAAACGCCTAAATAGAATGAACATACGCAAATGAGTATTTAAATTTTTGAAAACTCATTGTGTACGTTATATATGCTCATTCAGTAATGTTGTTATGCTCATTTTAAAATGTTATTCAATGCATATTTGAAAAGTACCATATTACATTAGATTCACATAAGAGTTTATTATAAACACGCGGGCCCAAATCATGATACTCAATCACATGATTCTAGTACTTAATATCAGAGGTTTGATGCTCATTGAAAATGAATTGATGCTCAACTAAAAAAAAATATAATTTTCATATTAATGCTCATTTTGTATGTTGCGTATGTTCATTTGGTATTGATGTTATGCTCATTTTAAAATGTTACATAATGCATATTTCAAAAGTATCATAAGTTCACATATTGAAATTCATAAGGGTTGATTATAGATATAATTTAAAAAATATTTATAAAAACAAAAATAACAAAAAAAAGTGAATTAAAAGTTATGAAGCAGATATCATGATGTTCAACATTAGACTCATAATACTCAACAAAATAGGTTTGATGCTCATTAAAAGTTAATCAATGCTCATTTAACAGAAAATGTGATTTTCATCTCAAGATAGGAGGTTTGATGCTCAATGAAAGTGTCGTGATACTCAAGCAACAAACCTGACAATTCTCATATCAATGCGCATATTTGGTAAGTTTAATTTGCTCATATGATACTCTTGAGATATGCATTGATATGACATTTTAAAACTGAGCATAACATCAATACCAAATGAGCATACATAACATACAAAGTGCACATTGATATGAAAATCGCAAGGTTTGTTAGTTGAACATCACAACATTTTAATTGAGCATCAAATCTCCGCTATTGAGATGAAATCACGGTTTCCGGTGAATGAGTATTAATGAACCATTAATGAGCATCAGACCTATTATGTTGAGTATTAGGAGTCTAATATTTGGAATCGTGATCTCTGCTTCATAACTTCTAATTCACTTTCTTTTTGTTATTTTTTCTTTTATAAAAACTTATTAAATTATATTTATAATCAACTCCTATGAATTTTAATATTGAACCTGATGCAAAATAGAATAGTACTTTTAAAAAATGCATCGATGTGACATTTAGAAAATGAGCATAAGATGAGTACCAGATGAGCATACGTAACTTACAAAATGTGTATCGATGGAAATCATGATATTTGTTAAATGAGCATTAATGATTTTTTAATGAGCATCAGATCTATACAAATGAGCATATGTAACTTACAAGATGAGCATTGATATAAAAATTGGAAGTTTTGTTCGTTGAGCATCAAGACAAATTCAGCGAGCATCGAACCCCGTTATTGATATTAGAATCGTGCGATTGAGTATCATGATTTGTGATCTCGTGTCTATAATCAAATTCTAAGTGAATCTAATGTAATATGAGACTTTCGAAATATACGCATTGATATAAAATTTTAAAATGAGTATAACAATGGTACTAAATGGACATATATAACTTACAAAATGAGTTTTCAAAAACTCATTTGTGTATGTTCATTCTTTTTAGACGCTTTACTTAATGGAGTTTAAAATAAAGCTCATTTCAAATGTGCTCGGTATTAATGTATAAAGAAAAAGAAGAAGGAAACAAGAAATAAAAGAAACGAAAAGAAGAAAAGAAAAAGACAAAAGAAAAGAAAAGCAAACTGAAACTAAAGTAATGAAAAAATAAAATAAAAAAGATAAACACAAAATGTAAAAGACCAAAGAGAATAGCAGCTGGAAAAGAAAGAAAAGGAACGTGGCTTGAAAAGAAGGAAGAGGGGGCGGCTGGAAGGAAAGAAAAGAAACGGTATTCGGCAGGGAGGCGCATGGAGCCGTGGTAGAAAATTAAAACGGAACAACTCAGCCTAGAAACTTGCTACTAATTAGTAATTACAAAAAAAACCAGGTGTACATGTACACCCGGGTGTACCATATAGGCGCTCGCCTCTGTTGGCTAATGCCGTTTAATTACACCATCAAGACCTACTGGATATAGTCAAATCATTTTTCTCAATTCTCGTTACCCTGTATGACTAAAACAAGCAATTTATGTATTTATCAAAGACACATTATGTCATTATCCATGTTCTGTTCTTAATTTGTGGGTCACTATCTTATGATACTATATTTTTCACATTTTATCTCAGTTTGTTCTATCCTAAAACGTTTTCACAAACCATATTTGATCATATGCATGTTATGTTTCAAAATTAGTCATACCTATGAACTTGATATCAGTTATATAATTTCAATTTATGGAAATTCTGTTTCAATTTATTCATATATGTTCTTAATCTATGAGTCACCATCTTATACTTCGTACTATATTTGTCTATTTTTTTTCCAGATTGTTCCATCCTAAAACGTTTTCACAAACCATAATTGGTCATATGTATATGTCTCAAAGTTAGTCATACCTTATGAACTCAATATCATTTATATAATTTCATTTTAGTGAAATAATGTGTCATAGACGATTATTTTTGTATGAGAACACACTTAACTCATAGAGATAAATATTAACCAGCACAATAATGATATATATGGAGGCCGTTTGACAACACTGTTTTTCGACTTATCAGGCTTATCAGCCAACATTTTCACCAAACACGTAATTTTTGCTTTCACGCCCTGAATTGTGTAATAAGCAAAAAAAATAAGGCTGAAGTTACTTTTCTGGCTGTATTGGCTGAAGTTACTGTAGACGACCATTTTAGCTATTTTTACATACAACTTTTTCTTTAATTTATTAGTAAAATATACTTTTAAAACAATTTTTTCGTAAATCAGCAAAATCAGTCAATGCAGCCACTTCAGCCAGAATTTCATAAATTTCAGCAGAATTAGCCAAATCAGCCGATTTTCGTGCTACCAAACGGGCTCATGATGTTTTTACTTGGACTTATTTCGGTCTTAGACGAGACAAAAATATACCGTACCAGACCTCGACAATTATAAAATGCATAGAGACAAGACATTGACGTGACCGGATCAGACTAGTTTAGATCAGACCGAATTAGTCTTAAACTTACCAGATTTAGCTTAAATATAATAGACCAAATTAACTATATCAGAAAATTTAAGTCTAATGAAAAACATCTTAATTTAGATTAAAGTTCAAAGCTAAAAACATAGAATTTAGACAGGACTCCCGACCCAGTTCGCTAAACCCAGAAAACAGCAATTATTTTCCAACGAGCGTAATTTAAAGGTGAATTAAATTAAAGTAGTTTTGACGTAAATAAATAATAATATTAAATGAAAGGTTTGGTATCATCGTGCGTGGATTCGTGGAATGTTCCTTAGGTTTCCTATAGAAGAGTTGATCAAAATAAAATGTTTGCAATCAATGATGGAACTTTTCGTGGTAAGATTATTTATTATTATTACTCATCTAGTGATTTTCTTAACCACAAGGACAACTAAGCTGGTTTGTGAGAAAAATAGTAAATATCATTGCTCTAAAATTCGTTAGGCGCTAGTTGAGCGGTAGAGGGGCATCTAGCACCTAGGCAGCCGATTAGGCTGATCTTTTGGCCGACTAGGTCGTTTTTTAATTTGGTTAAGTAGGCCGATTAATCCTATACAATTAAGGCCGATTAGGTCGGTTAATCGGTCCTATTAGGCCGAATTTTAGAATAGTGGTAAATAGTGATGTCCAATTGATTAAAACTCTCAATCAATCAAGTGTTTTGTACTGTGACGACATCACTGTTGATCTTTCATAAAGCAAGTCGTATATATAATAAGGATGTTAATTGTCTTTATCATGAGGAGACACTATAATGTACTACTATTTGAAAGAATATTAAAAAAAATCTATCAAGGCTGGTGATTAACAAATCATGCAATTATATGAGCCTGTTAGGTGACCCTGATTTTCGTCTTATCATGTTTATCAACTAGTTTTTTCACTAAACACGTAACTTTTGATTTCACACGCTGAATTTGTATCGGCCCGTATGGTTGAAATTACTTTTGTGGTTGTATTGACTGAAGTTACTACATATTATCATTTTAGCTACTTTTTCATATTTTTTTTTCTTTATGTTATTATTACAAAGTATTTTAATTTCCCCCCATAAATCAGCAAAATCAGCCAATAAAGTCTCTTTAGTCAGAACTTCATAAATTTAAGCAGATTCAACCGATTCAGTCAATTTCAGTCTTACAAGACCGACTCTATATAGTTGCACATATCAAGGAGTAAATCAATAAATTGATGTCAAAATGGTTAGATAGCTAGGGGCTTTTGCATACTATATAATCTTGTTACATTTTCCACTGATGCTTGCCACCGAAATGAAGCTCTTTAAGATTGGGATTCAATTTTACTCTTTTTTTCCTCTTCTTCTTCCCATTTTCTTCTCAAAACAATGCCTTTCTTCTAAATCTCTGCTGCCACACAAATTAATTCCCAGGCTCACCCCATTCGACAAAAGCTCCATACCAAACGCGGCACAGGAGACGCCTCGTCCTCCCCATTTCAAGACCTTTTACTACAAGCAAACGTTGGATCACTTCAATTATGCACCCCAGAGCTATGACACCTTTGACCAGAGGTACATTGTCAACTCCCAACACTGGGCTCCTGGTGGGTCCATCTTGGCATGGCTCGGCGCCGAAGCTCCGATCGACGATGATCCCGCCTTTGCCGGGTTTCTCACCGATATTGCCCCTCGTTTCAAGGCCCTTGTCATCTACATAGAGGTAACTACGTTTAGTAGTGTTTTAATTAGATAAAGGATCTTTTAGGAAGGTCTTAATCTGGATTGACTTGATTTGTTTAAGTCTCCTCTAATTTTATTCAATTTATTTTAGTCGTAACAAAATTCCTTTCATGCGTGCATGGTCCAACCCGAGTTTTTGTTCATCCAAATTTACGAAAAAACTTTTTTTTTTTAAAATAGCATGAGAAGTTTCATCTCTTCAATGACCACTCTACAATAAAAGTGGCCTAGACCTTATATGACGGTTGGCATATTTTTATATTATTTGCTTGTTAAATTTATGTATTAATCCTGAAAATGTTGTTATTCTTATGTTTTTAATTAGACTGGTTGACCAAACTTTGATAGTTGTAAAAACGCATAGAAAATTATATTCCAATTAAAAACATTTTTGGTCGGATCAATTGCATGTTTAAACTAAAAATTTGTTGGCATAGACGTAGGTTTTTATGAATCATAAGAAATGTCAATGTTATACGAAGTAGTATGTAGTTTCTTAACCATCCCTCATAAAGAAATGTTGATATACAGCATAGGTTTTATGGGAAATCAATTCCATTTGGAACAATGGATGATGCTATGAAGAATGAGACCCTTCGTGGTTATTTCAATTCGGCTCAAGCTTTAGCAGACTATGCACAAGTGTTGTTACACGTAAAAGACGAATATAATACTCGAAAATCTCCGGTCATCGTTGTTGGAGGATCCTATGGGGGAAGTATGTACAATTTTTACCCTATCCTATTCCGGGCATGGCCCCTGTTTATTGTTTTATTAGATCGACTTAACATGTTTATTAATAAAATGGTAAATAAAGTAATAAATTCTGATAGAAATTTGAGTAGAAAAGAATAAAATGATATGATTTCCATATTTGTGAAAAGAAATCATGATATTTGTTAGCAAGATAAAAAAGATTCTCATATTTGAAGCTTAGCTTTGAACGCAATGGCGGAGCCAGACATTTAGGGTTAAAGGGGTCGGTCCTTAACAATTTTACATTGCAGGGGCCAAAGTTTAAAATAGCAACATACTTTCTACAGATTAAAAGTATTTATACATTATATATAGTACGTACTTAAAAAAATTCCTTTCAAGGGCCGTGGCCATCTCCAGCCCCTCCCTGTCTCCACCCCTGTTTGAACGATAATACACAGACATTGTGTGGTTTAAGTGGAAAGAAGCTTTTAAGTAAGAAATAAAAATAAAGTTAAGCTGTTGAATTCAGTTATGTTGTAATAAAAGAGCATTATGTTGCATCTCTTTAATGTGGTGGCCTTTCATAAGTACTTCTGGAAATACGTACAATATTGCATCTCTTTAATGCAATATTAAATTGTTTTAGTGCTACATCGTCAAATTTTATATAGCGTAATATAAATTTATTTTAGTGTATGTTCGTCAAGTTCAAATATTAGTGTAATATATAGCTGTTTAGTGCAACATCATCCTCATATTCAACGACTGAGATCCATTCTCACTCGTACACATACTTCTCTCATTTGAATAAAAATCTATACATACATATTAATACTCCGTAATTTATGACAAAGTATTTGTAAAAGAAATTTTGCAATTTTAATGGTATGACTTTTGGTTGTGCTCACTATTCCTCTTGTACTACATATCTTTATTCATTTGTATAATGAGTCATGTGACAGATAAATATGTCCAATTTAGGGATTTTTTTTACCAGAAAATACATTTCCCGGCTAGTAGAAAAATCTTTAATGGGAATAAATTAAGAAAAAATGGCCTCAATAGGACTAATGGACTTCCCGTTTCCAAGAATATGACTTGTTTTTTTATTCCCTAAAATGTGACTTGACTCTTCCGTTACCCAGCCCCATTTCTATTGCAATTCGCAACCCTACTTTATCGCAACTCCCACTCCACGCCTGCACAGCCCTCCTCCATCGCAGCTCCCCTGAATCCTTCATCACTCCTCAACCGCAAGCAACATCGACCAGCAACGACCGCAAGCTCCTCAACTATGCAGCCCTCATCCTCGATGGCCGCCGCCGCTGGTTAAGACTTCCTCGATGGCCTCCACTGTCGGTTCAGACTTCCTCGATGGCCACCACCGCCAGATTAGTCATCATCGATGGCCATCGCCACTGCTGGATTCGTCTTCCTCAGTAGATCTACGACGGCGGCTAGGGTTACCAGATGTGTAGCGATGGATCTAAGGGTGACGAGAGGCGGCGGCGATTGACTGCCCGCGACGGGGCGATTGTGTGGGAGCTGTGGTGTTTTGCGATGGCTAGGGGTGGGGCGTTGCGTGATGCGGTTATGCAAGGACTGGTTGGGGGGTTGGGGGCTGTTGTGAGGGGTGGGGGATGCTGATTGTGGGTTGGGATGCTGGGAGGGACTGTGTTGGGGTTGGTGTAGGAGAGCGGCTGGGATTGGCGGCCAACCGTGGTGGCAGGCAAAAGTGGGAGGTGGTGGTTTCCGGCGGTGATGGAGTTGGACGGGCAGTCACTGTTGCCGGCAGACAGGCAGCCGTAGGTGGGCGGCATTCATTGTGGTAGGTGGGCGGGAGTCACTATGGCTGGTGTGCGGGAAGTCGCTGTGGTCGGTGGGGCAGTCACCGTGGTCGGTGGGGCAGTCACCGTGGTCGGTGGGGCAGTCACCGTGGTCGGTGGGGCAGTCACTGTGGTCGGTGGGGCAGTCACTGTGGTCGGTGGGACAATCAATGTGGCCGGTGGGACAGTCACCATGACCGGTGGGGCAATCACTGACTGGTGGGGTCACTTTGCAGTGCAGGGTTAATTGTGATGTTGATTACATTTTTGGAATTTTTAAAAATTGACCACTTTTTTTGTCTTTTATCCTATTTTTAGTAATACCTAGGCTAAAATGGGAATAAATTAATTAGTTAGTATAGAGAACCATAACTTCAATTAAATTGGTATGAATTGTCCGGTATATAAAAGGAATGTTTTAATAGAAACATCATGTCACTGCCCATTTTGAATAGTAGGAAGTGGGAAACAAGGATTCGCACGATTTCACGACAATTATTATTTCTCCACGGTCTAATAAATGAGTGTATTACAAACTTCATGTTTATGCTAAGCAAAAGCAAACCAGCCGACGCTAATTTTATACGTGACATAAATAGTTTCATATATTCTTTTTTTATAAAATTTGGTTTTCTTACGAGTGTACACAATGCAAAATAATAATTTTTCAATGCAAAATAATAATTTTTCAATGCAAATTTTCATAGGATGGACTAGATGAAGGTGAGAAGATATGTGAATTTTGAAATTTTGCGAATTTTGAAGTTTAGAAAGTAGAACAATTGAACGTCGTGAATGCTACCGAACCGATAAAAATGAAAGTGCTCTCTACTTTGCTATCATGCAATTGATCGGTTTGAACCATTATTTTAAAATTCATTTATATTTAAATTATTCAATTGTAATATTCTAGTTGGTGTGTATATACGAACTAGTTACCTTATTACCATCCATCCAAGTAATACCATAGACAAATTGAGGTTAGGCAAAAATGAAGATTAAACATTTAAATGTATGAGCTGAAAGAGTGGCGTATCCAGAAAAATATGTCAGCGGGGGCGGATTTACCTTAGATTAAGAAAAAAAAATTACATGAAAAATCAGATTAAGAAAAAAATTGTAAAACCAATTATAAATAACAAAATATTCTCTCATAAAAAACATTATGATATCACGTTTAATTAAATTTCACTTCGTTTGAAATAAATTCATCACATGGAATCTGTAATTTGTGAAAAATTATGTTAATATATAAATGAATCAACTAAGGGAATGAGGAGCATGTAGTTAGAATTAATTTAAATTTAAAATTCACAAGTATATTTAAAAAAAATTATATATCATGTACAAAAACAGTTCATATGTGAAACTAGAATTGTAAATATATTGATGTAGTTTAGATCTTTCCAACAAGAAAAAAAGAGTAAAAAGAACAATGTAAAATCACTTAGAATTTGTTCAAGGCTTCAAGCACAAAAGAAATAAAACATAAAAAACAACTACAAGTAGGAATTGACCTCCTGACCTCACTGGAACACAAGACTAGCACCTTTAATTAAAAATCTTGTACTAACTTACTCTATAATAACCCTTTATTTAGAACAAAAATATATGTATAAATTTAATTTGGATATATATATATATATATATATATATATATATATATATATATATATATATATATATATATATATATATATATATATATATATATAAGGGTTGGGTGGGGGTTGAGTGGGTGCTGAAATTTAGTTTACATGCATGAAGTATACCGTATAAATTTATTTTAGTTTTAATTTTATTTTCTAAATTTGTTTGAAGTGCTTGCGGCTTGGTTTCGATTGAAGTATCCTCATATTGCTCTCGGCGCCTTAGCATCATCAGCTCCTATTCTCTACTTTGATAATATCACCCCACAAGATGCATACTTTTCAACCGTCTCCAAAGATTTCAGGGTATGTATCAAGTCACTAGGTGATTAAATGTAAAATAATTTTCTACAATAACTTCAGTAAATTCAACAAAAAAATAACACTAATTCTATGCGTAAAATAAAAAGCAATTGGTTGATAAAGTTGGTAAACAAAAAACAGGGTTTATCAAACAGATTCATATTGTTCAGTACTACATACTATATTATTTTTGTAATTCTTTTTGTATTTATTTAAAAATGTTATACGAAGTATGCTATATATTTATTAATTATTAGTATTAAGTAGTTGGGTTTTTTACAAAAATATTACTAAAATAAAACTTATTTGTACAAAAATATGACAAATAGTTACTACAATACAATATTAATTATGGTAACTTAAGTTTAAAAATTAAACACAAGTTACTATAATTCTATTATTACTCTAGTCACTAGTTACATTTTTGTAAACAATCTTTATTTTAAAAATTAGTTCCAAGTGATTTTAGCTTCTAAGTATAGCCATTTTATTTAAGCCTTTATGAAATTTGCAGGAAGTGAGTGAGAGCTGCTATCAAACAATACGGAAATCATGGTCAGCTATTGACAAATATGCCTCCACTAAAAACGGTCTCAGGATCCTAAGTCGCAAATTCAATCTTTGCAAGTAATAAATCTTCTTTAATTCGCTACAATTATTATTTAGCCAAGTGGGTTATGCAGTCATCAGATTGATGATTAGAGTAAGCAGGCTTACGCAAGTTGAATAATTATCATTTATCAACCCTTCCTTAATTTAAATGGTCATTATATAGCCAAGCACTCCTTAACTTTTTGGCACGTCGAATAAGCAAATTAAAGGAAAATATTCGATTTTAACTTTTACTCCAATGGATCACTAGTTTACTAAGTAAATAAAGATAGTTCGACCCAACTTATAATTAGGAACATGTTTTTCCTTCTACATTCACACATACTTAGGGAAAATGTTTGGCATTGAGTCGTCATTGATCATTTTTATGTTTTTATACGGAACTTTTGATAATGTGGAAGAGATACAAAAAGGCTCTTTACTACGGAGTAAAATACAGTCTCATAAAAATACAAAAGTTATATCAAACCATTTTGCCGAGAACTACTTATATATAATAATATACACAATTTCCTTAAGCTCTTAGGAGTCCATGTGATATAGCACGTTGTTCATCCAAACTTTTCCGGTGCGGGACATTTAACAACTTTCCTTTGTATTAGAAAATTAAATTCGTCCGACGACGCGGAGGTTCTCAAGAATCACTTGGGGGGTATGTATGCGTCAACCGCTCAATATAACGCGCCGCCGGGGTATCCGGTGACGAAGGTGTGCGGTGGCATAGATGGGCAGCCCAAAGGGACTGATATTCTTGACCGGATACATGCCGGCGTCGTGGCCTTGAGAGGAAACCGGACTTGCTATAATATTCACTCCAATTATTCCAGCGAAACAGACATTGGATGGGGTTGGCAAGTAAGTATAATAATCTTAGTTTCATCCAATTGATTGTGCTACAATTCCAGTCAAAAGTTAATATGATTCAAACACGACTCTAGATATATGTAATGATGTACCCAATAACCATTGCGATGAGTATTATATATATACGGAGTATCAATTAAAGTAAAGAGATAGATGGAGACTTAAGATGGAGACTTAAGCATCATTAGGATAACAACATCACAGTGGCGGCCAGGGACGGAGCCAGGATGTAATGTCAGTGGTGTCAAAATAATATACTAACGAAAATTACTTTAAGGAACGCAGATCATATCAGACTGGCCTAACAAGAACCTCCGTCAAGCGGAGGCTATTTGGGGCCCTACCCAATGAAATTTTTTGAACATGTTTGAACAAGTTTAGTTTATATACCCATCAAATTTCAATTAAAATGTCAACCGGGAAAATAGTTAAATAAATTCTTTACAAAAATTGTGCTTTATATCAATTATGTGTATGAACAATGCAGTTTTTGTAAAGAATTTAGTTATTAACTGCCTTCCCGGTTGAACTTTAAATTGCAATTTGATTGACATAAAACAGACTTGATGAAAAATATGCTCAAAGAAAGTCATCAACAGAATTCCACCGGGAAGCCCCCCCGAATGACCTCGATCGGCCGGTCCGATAGGATCGCTACTCTTACTCTAAGTGAGAGTAAAAATAATGTGAATTTTGAATTAATTAGGAGTATTATATTATTTTTTTAGTTTCTTAGTAAATACGTAGTATTATTAACATTATTCATTAAAAAACTTTTGAGATAGGGGAGTATATGATATACATATTGACACTATAAAAAATTAGTGGTGTCATTTTAACACTTTCAATCTATATACATATATATACAATAAATATATCGTTTGAGTGGTGTCATTTTTACACTTTAAATTTATATATACATATATATACACTAAATATATAATTTGAGTGGTGTCATTTGACACCATAAGCCAACACCTGGCTCCGTCCCTGGTGGCGGCTGGAGTCAGAAATGAGAGATTAAGGAACCCGGGCTTAAGAAATTATGGTGTGAGAATCAAAACTTAAAATTTCAATACATTTTTTACTACCTATCATATTTATACATATGTATATACCGTAGTACATCACAAATTTTTACTTGGAGGTCCGAGACCCCCTCCAACCTCCCCGTGTCTCGATCTACCCCTTAGATCACTTAGATCAGTCATATTTGTTGTACACATTTTCAGTATAATTTGTACTCCCCCGTCTCGAATTATAAGACATTTTACGGTTTACTATATTTGACCGTTGATAAAGCAAATTGATCTTTGTCAACACTCAAATAAGTTTTACAAAATAAAATCTACATATTCAGTAACTACATTAAACCGCTACAAATGACGTTCAGAAACTACAAATGTAAATTAGTCAACACTCAAGTGAATATAGAAGATATTTTACAAAATAGGACTGAATAAAGTATATGAGCGTTCAAAAAACGGGTACAAATGACGTTTTTTTTTTTTGAAAACTGGGTACAAATGACGTTTTATTAATCACTTTTGCTACTTGTACCCACTTCCTTATATTCACCACCTTTATGAGAAGACTATTAATTACATGTGTGTGGATCCCGTTCACAAACATGTTACAATAAAATAACCTTGTCAGAGATGCGTGGGTATAAGATGGTATTAATTAGAAGTGGGTACCAACTTAATTTTTGTTTATTAATACGGAGTATGGAGTAGCGTATACAAGCTCTTAACTTATTCTTGGAACTTATTGTTGGATGAGTACAGACTTGTAGTGAAATGGTGATACCAATAGGGATTGGAAATGACACGATGTTCGTTCCGTATCATTTCGACATGGACCAACAATCAAAGGCTTGCAATGATTACTACGGGGTTCCGCCTCGACCTCACTGGGTCACAACTTATTACGGAGGACACGTATGTTACCTTCTTACTTTATTTTCCTTCCTAGTGAAGTCTATCTTGTTTTATTTAATTTGTAAGTACACACAGTAATTCCATAAGTAGAAAATATAAAAAATAATGGTTCTAGTTCACAATTTGTACACAATTGCACACATATATTAGTCACAAGCAATTGGTGTGCTGAAACCTAACATGAGAGTTGCCTATGAGCACATACAAGAGTCGTTGTCTGCACACAGAGCACACACATTAATTTTCGTGTTAAAAGTACTATAACAGCTGTCTGACACTGGCATAGTGGCATGCAAATCAATCTCTATGTTTGCAGTGTCTGTGCATATGCAATAATTGTTTGTGCACAGACAATTATTTTATGTGACCAAAATGTGGATTTTTCTAATAGATTTGTGGGGCTCACAGATAAAAGTTGTCTGTGAGATCACTTTTAATTGTTTGTGCTCATGTAGATTTTATTACACAGACATTAGTTATGTTGCTTACAGACAATATTTGTCTGTGTGATCTACTTTAATTTTAATTGTATGGGTGAACAAAATATTTGATAGTGTATATACGTGCAAATATATGATTTAGTTGTATGTGTGCTAAATTTACATAGTCCGTATAATTTAAAAAATGAAAAGATAATAAAAATAGATGGAAATAAATAAATAGGGTCATTTTGTGCAAGTAATGGAAAAAATTAGATACAAAAAAGCAGAGAAGAAGAGGATGAAGAAGGGAAGAGGAGGATTAAGTAGAGAATAAAATTATACAATCTTCCTTTGGATATCTGTAAAGGTTGGATAGAGAGGGAAGAAAGAAGCGAGAGAGAGGGAAGAGAAAAGGGAGGGGTGGAAAAAAATGGGAAAATGAAAATGGTAAATTTTAGATTTATATAGTGTGTACAACTATAGTGTACAAATACAATTTTCCAATATAAAATGAGTGAATATACGGAGTGTATATTATGAGAGATTTAATGTTGTCCGACTTTATCCTTTTTTAGTCTTGTACGTAACTTTATATTCGAGTAAAGGGTCAGTTTGGTCCTCGAAGTTGCAAAAAAGGCGTCTAATAAGTCCTTATATAGAAGATTCTGTCCGGACGTGCCATTTGAGGTGGCTCCCGGTGAAATTTTGTGATAATTTTTTTTGAGCATCTTATACATTAAGTCTAGTTTACTCATACCAAATTTCAGCTAAAAATTCAATCGGGAAGACATTCAAATGAATTCTTGAAGATAATAGCGCTTTTAACGGCACAGTTATCTTCAAGAATTCATTTGAATGTCTTCCCCATTGAATTCTTATCTGAAATTTGGTATGAGTAAACTAGACTTAATAAATAAGATGCTAAAAAAATTTCATTGAAAAATTCCATCGGGAGCCACCTCAAATGGCACGTCCGGACAGAAACTTCTATATAAGGACTTATTTGACCCCTTTTTTGCAACTTTGAGGACCAAACTGACCCTTATCCCCTTTATATTCATTTACATATTTCATCTTATATGGTGGTCAATCGATAAAATGTATAGCACAATCGGTTTTGAAATGTCAGATCGGACCACTCGACAAATAAAAGTTTGAATTATATTGTGTCGATAAATTCATTGTAGTATTACTTTACTATTGCAAATATTCTTGCCAATATACTTTTTGATGCAAACTAATTACAATTGCAGGATATTAAGTCAGTTCTGCGGACGTTTGGTAGCAACATAATCTTCTCCAACGGTCTAAGAGATCCATACAGCACCGGAGGGTAATTAAACACCACTCACACTCTTCCCTTATTGTTGTTATTATTTGGTCGCCATCATTGTATTTATTGTTTTTTTTGGCTACTGTGGTTATTGTTTCGTTGTTATTTCATTATTGTTATTTCGTTATTATTGTCGATTTGTCGTTATTGTTATTTCATTGCATTGCCGTTTTTGTTTTGCTATTGTTATTATTTCGATGTGTTGTTGGTGTTTTTCATCAGGACCGTCTAATGAATTTGGAGGTCCCTGTTCACAATTCAAATTTGAGGCCTCACTATAACATAAAAACTAAAAACTGCTCTCCATTTAAATTTTTATTATACTTATATCAATTGAATACTCATTAAATAATGCAATTAAAGAATTACGGGTAGTAATTTTCCCCTTTCAAATAGTTAATCTCTACATTGTTTTTAAAGTTTTTCAATTTATGAGGGCATTATTATACAAAATAATGGAGTGTGAATTTAGTTGTGACTCATATTCATATACGATAGTATAGACTATTACAATATATAATTAATTAATGTTAGTGACCTAAAAATAATACTATTAGTGCTTTATAAATATTGTGGCCCCAGGGAAAGTGGGGTCCTGTTTTGTTTAATCTAATTAACATGTTCAAAGACGGCCCCGTTTTTCATTGTTATTAGTGTTGTTCGTAAGTTCATTGTCATTATTGTTGTTGTTACTCTAATGTACCTGTTTTGTTTGTTGTGATTGTCTATTAACAGGGTTTTGCAGTCTATTTCGGATACTCTACCTACAATCTATACGCATAATGGTATGATTAACTAATTCAAACTACTAAAATAAAATATGAGAATTCATATTTGACCGAAGGGTCTGTATGAGCTCCACGTCATCAAATAAAAGTGAATGAGAGGTATATGACCGAATGACCTGCATGAGCTTCATGTAATGAAATAAAGATGATTGGACGGTATATATATTTCTCAAGACTGGTATGATGTCATCATTTAGTTGCACCTAAGCATTTAAATAAAATTGTTATAATTTCTTGAGCTTATAATTCGCTATTAGATCTGGACCTAAATTAAGTTGTCTCAAATTTTCACGCTAGAGCTCAAGCTAGATTTCTATGCTTAGTTGGAGTGTGACCTATATTAGAGAGCACACATAACTGATTCAAAACATAGAAACGAGAGTATGCATTAAATGGCATTTAGATTGGGAGCATATTAATCATCATACCCGTATGACGTGATCCGTTACGTTGGTGCGAGAGTTCAACACTTTCTGACGGCGTAGGTGGGTGATCAGATTCTATAAGTCCATTTTTTAATGTAAAAAAATGCACACTTCTAAAGAAAAAATGATAATAAATTAATAATCTAGCTCAACTTGACACTCAATTTCGTAGTACAAATCCCCAGACGCACGCTTTTATAGGGTCTTTTAACAGATGACTCGCCCCGAGATTGAAATTTGATGTTATGTTATTATTATTATTTTTAATTCCGAAAGTCACATATTCGGGTGCCGTAAGTGTCGGGGAACACTTACGTGATTTATTAAGTTATTAGAATATACAAAGAAAAAAGATTAAAAAAAAGTGTTTAAATCTAACTAGATGGGCCTTGTGGGCGCCCAGCCGTATGATCCAATTAAAAAGAACAGGACCATATGAAACATAATAAAGCCAAGGTTGTGGAATATGAATGTTGGCCATCTTATGATTTTTTTAATATTTCAATTTTTGATTTTTTTGTATTGTTTTTTTTTATCAAATTTATTTTCGATAACCATATAAAATTAGAGAATACTTAACTTTTGTATTTGGGCTGAGATAATGGACCGATGAAGAATTTGGGTAACCAAACATGTAATATTAGGAGAGATTAGAGCTAAGAAGTGGAGAAAAAGATGAATTGTGTGAATGTTTTGAATGAGTTTGTGAAATATGAATTAGGGTTTACAAGGGAGGTATATATAGGAAAATGCAAGTTTGTGTCTCTAAACGGTTCGGTTGAGACCGAGACTATTAGTTAAAAAACCCTAATTCATAATTCACGGTTCGGTTTACACTATTCATATTTTTCCTATATATAGTGTCAGTGTCGGTTTGTGATTCACACTATTCTCTAGGAGACATTTTAAAATACACATAGATGATAAACAGACATCTACCAAACCAGTTCATTTAATTTGTTGTACCCTCCATACAACTTCTTAAATCCAAATTATATTCTAGCGTTCAACAGTTTTGAAATGTCAGGACCAATGGTGTACTAGAGCTACTTTGTATTTATAAGGTTTATGTGATATTCATGGAAATAGAAAATATAAACGATTTAAGCAATACAATACATAATAATTTCTATATGTGATTAATACTACTCCCTCTGTCCCCTTAAGTTTGTCCCGTTTTACCTTTTTCGTCCGTCCCACTAAGTTTGTCCCATACCGTATTTGGTAACATTTGAGTGGTTAAAATTCATTCTTACTTTATTTACACTTTATCAATTCAATACCAACCACACAATTCCACTTTTTCTTAAAAACCACACCACACCCCTCCGTCCCAAACTTAGGGGGACGGAGGGAGTAATACACAATTGTGACGTAATTAAGTAATCAAAACACTTTTAATTATAATTATATATAATTGTGTTCATGAATCTGATTGTAGGATCTCATTGTTTGGATTTGCATGGGGCAAACACACCATCAGATCCCATCTGGTTAACTCAGCAACGGGAGAGGGAAGTCAATATCATACAAAGTTGGATAAGAACTTAAATCTCAGCCTTCGAGAATTCGGGAGATTAACTTGGAACTTATAATTAAGGAAATGATAGCTTTATAGAAATAATTACTCGGATTGGGAATATACACTATCTTTATAAATGACTAGTATAGTATCCGTGCATACGCACGGGAAAGAGCAATTGGTGCATATATTTTTATTCATGTTCTAATTAAATATTAAAATAACAATAACTTTTTAGGATTCTACATTTTCAAAAAATAAGAGTTTAATAAGCGAATACCATAAAGTTTAATCTCATACAATATATATTCAATGAAAAAGTATATTAGGAAAAATTAATTGACACCATTCATTAGAATTTGCTACTTATTAATTTTCATGATTAGATTAAGTGAGTACAATAAGTGAGTGGCATAAAGTTTAAGTGAGAACATTAAATATTAAAATTAAAGAATATTAGTTAAATAAGACCTTGTCACTCATTAGTAAATTAGTGCTAATATATAGTAAAAAATGAGAGAGAAAATTATCCATTGTAATTCTTAGCCAACTTATCTTGTTATACCTAAAAGAATTACATATAAGAAAAAATTATCACACTTAATTGTTAGGCATATCATCTTAGCACTACATATGAGAGAAAAAATTCTACCCATTATTTATTAGCTGACTTATCTTATACTATGTACTTAAAAGAACTATGATAATTCTCCTGCTTGACTGTTACCAAACTTATCTTCTAATACCTAAAATCACTACATATGAGAGACACGATTCTTCCGCTCATTTATTAGCAAGTTTATCTTGTCATGTCTAAAAAGACTACATATACAACATACAAAAACAACATCCAAGCCTTAGTCCCAAACGATATTGGAGTCGGCTAACATGAATCGATACATGATATCCCCAAAAGGAAAAGAAAGAAAATAAACATAAAAAAGATAAGCTATTATAAAAAAAGATAATATAAAAGAGATGAATATACATATAAAATATAAAATACAAAGGATAAAGTAATATTTATATATAAGGATAAAAATATAAAAGAAAAAGAAAAAAAAAAGAAAAAAAAGAGGGGAAAAGATGATACAAGATCACTCCTCCACACGAATACCCGCCCTCCATTTTGCTCTCTCCAAAGCCATACCCTCATCCAATCCAAGAAGAAGCATATCACTTCTGACTCCCCTAACACATGTCTGTTTGGGCCTTCCTCTCCCTCTCTTCCCTGCCTCTTCTCCACACATCTCAACTCGTCTGACAGGTGCATCACTTGGTCTTCTATGCACATGACCAAAACTACAGTAATTGTAGAGGTAGAACAAGGAGTGCAACTGTGTAAGATAATCCAGCTAACAGGGGTAGAACAAGGAGTGCAACTATGCACATGTGTAGTTCTTTTTAAGTATGTAAGATAATCCAGCTAACAGTTGAGCAGGAAAGTTTTTCTTCCATATGTATGTTTGTTAGGTATAACATAAACCGACTAACAATTGAACGTGAAAATTTGCCGACGATATTGTATTGATTGATGAAACGCAATCAGGGGTTAAGGCAAAGTTGGAAGTATGGCGACAAACATTGGAGAACAAGGGTTTCAGACTAAGTAAGAGCAAGTGGTAAGCTTTATACAAACATTGGAGAACAAGGGTTTCAGACTAATTGTAGGGTTAATGAATTCAAATTACTCATTGTCTTCGATTTAGACCAACTCAAAACAAAACTAAATAGACCAACTCGAAATTTTATTTTATTATTAGAACTAAAATGAAAATGAAAAAGTTATTGCACTTTAAAGAAAAATTGAGATTTTTTATAGTTTGGGTCCCACCAATGCATCTCTCTAGTCTCCACGGCTGCTCCTTCCCATTCCATGGAGAGTCGTACGCTGAAGCAAAAATACACACGTGGCGTTGCTAGAGAAAATGAGTGAATTGAGGAGAGTTTGGCACATATGATTCATTAAGGTTAAAATCATCTTTATAAGAGCTACTCCGTATTATATAGCTAAAATCACTATGTATGGGATACAAAATTCTCCTGCTCAATTGGTTTAGCCGTATTATCCTATACATGATATAAAAGCACTACGTATGAAACAATTCTCCCAATGAATTGTTAGCCGTCTTATCTTATCTTATATCTAAAATCATTACGTATGAGAGAGAAAATTCTCCCGCTCAAGTTTTATCCGGCTTATCCTATACCTAAAAGAATTATATAATAAAGAATATATTATTTACAGAATATATTCTTTAGATAAAAAAAAGAAAAAAATGTGTATGAAAGACTTATATTGCCTGCACAATATTTGACACATTAGAAAATATTTCTTTCTTGGATATGGAATAAACCGTGTTGAGGTTAGAAAATAGAAATGTTGTTTAATAAATCGTAGATTTGGTTTTCAATTTTATATAGGAGATATTAATGTCATATAAAAGATCGTAAAATATTGAGTTTTGATGGGAAAAAGGGAGTAAAATGTGTAATTGATGTTTGTGCAGAGGAGATCAAAATAGGATGAACTACGAATTTTTTACTTCAAAAAATATTGACAAATTTTTAAACTTTTAAAGTCACATATCAAAATTCACAATTGGGGAGAGGTAGGGGTGGACTCGGGTCGGGCTGTCCGGCTCGGAACTGGACCGGCCCGATATTGTTTGGGCCCGGCTCGGTCTTGTTTGGGCCCGGCCCGGCCCGGTACCCAGTCTAGGGGCTGGTTCGGGCCAACCGGAATTGCTCAACTCCCGGTTCGGGCTCGGGCCTTGAAAATGATGAACTGGCCCGGCCGGTTCGGGGCAATTTTTTTTTTTTTTCAATTTTTTTTGTTTCTACTGGGTAGGGCTAGGTGTTTTGGAGGGGGGGGGGGGGGTTGGGGGTGTGGGGGTGAAGGGGGGGTCGGGGGTAATTTACAAAAACAAAAGAAAATAAAAAAAATAACATTGAACCGGAAACCGGCCCGGCCCGGCCCGGCCTGGAACTGCCAGTCACCCGGACCGGTTCCCTACTTCCCAAACAAAAGCCCGACCGGGCCAAGACCTGAACCTGAACCGGCCCGGGTCGATCCCTAGGGAGAGGCCATGTGTCAGTTTAGTGGGTAAAATGGTATTTTAAATATACTACCTCCGTTCCTTAAAACTTTGCCAACTTTCCTTTTTTGGATGTCCCACTAACTTTGCCACTTTCCGTTTTAAGTAAAAAAATTGTGGTTCCAGTTAATTCTCTCTCCTCTGCACAAATCTCAACCACACAGTTTTTACTTTATTAATCCTCGTGCCGGTCAAACTTGGCAAAGTTTTAAGGGACAGATGGAGTATGTTTTTAATCTCAGGCCATATCAGACTTAAATATAAAAGAAAAAATAAATAAGACAAACCCGAGTTGAATTAAATAATACGGAGTGGTAAAATTGGTAACATCTTATCGCAAACTAATCAACAAAAGAGTATCATAAGTGACCAAAAAGTAAAAAAATTTAATTGAAATGTTTTTAATAGCATACCAAACCGAACTTAAATAGAATCGAATAAAATAAATAAATTAGACAAACAGGATCATAATAAAATAATAGTAAAATTGGTAACATCTTATCACATACTAATCAACAAAAGAATATTACAAGTGACCAAAAATAAGTTTTTAAATGAATTGTTTTCCATCTGAGATCATATTAAACTTTAAAATAGAGAGTTCAAAAGAAAAAAATTAAACAAATTAGACATCAAATCAAATTAAGATAATAATAAAATTCGCATGTTTGAGAAATAGATCAGATGTAAACAAACTAAATAATACGTAGTAAAATTTATTCCATTTTCTGTACTCCGTATTAATCATTTTGAAAAAAAGCTCATAGAATACTACTCTGGCTGTGTTTGGCAAGCCACATAAGCTCAAAATGGGCTGAAATAAATAACATTCAGTCGATTATTATACAACTAATGCTGTTTGGATAACAGGCTGATATGAACTTGAGCTGGAAAAAGTAAACTGAATTAAAACGTTTCAAGGAGCAACGTTTCGATTCAGCCGCTGCCATCTTTCCGTTATTAGCCCTCACGTATTCCTTTTCCAATAGCTCTGGCTCTCTGTTGAGCACTATAAGAACAAACGGCAGCTTCAATTCAATTGTTTTTTATGGATTCAACTGGTTTTATTTGAAATATACGCAGGGGCAGAAATCACAGGCTTCATATATTGGATGTAGAAAAAACTATACAGAATATATACGTACATATTTATTTATTGGTATGTACTCCGTATATGCATATAGTCATATACTGATCGATATACATACATGCTCCACGTCTCCACATATAACATCTTCATATTCACTGGAATGTAAAAACATTATACTACGTAATAAATGCATATTATCTTCTTTTAATAAAATCATACTACGTATGTCTTATGTATAATGTAATTTTAAAAATATTTATAATAAATTTTTTATTCTATTGATAAATCGTTTGTCCTTTATTGTAATTTCATATTATCCAGCACTTGTTCAGCTCATTTTGCCAAACAGATCTATTCCATTCAGCTATCAATTCGGATTCAACACTTCAATGTTCAGTTCCAGACAATAGCCTCTAATTCAGACAATAGCCCTTAATTCAGACTTTAGTCTCTAGTTCCAGCTAGTTGTGCCAAACATAGCCAGTATATTGTTAGCGGCTGAATTTTTTTAGACTTAGAAATACGGAGAAGGTTTTCTGTTAGATAAGGAGTATTAGAATTATGATATTATTATTATTATAATTATCATTATTAGACGAAGAAAAAACGGACTTGAATATAGTCAATTATAGAGAAGGAGTCGGGAGTATGTTTTGCATTGCATTACATTGCGATTACTCCGTATATAAAAGAAGCAGCCACGTGGCCAGTGGCGGATCTAGGAAATGAAAGTGTTGGGGGCGGAATAAGATGATGAACATAAAGACAATATAAAGTAAAATTACTTAATAAAAAATATCTGAACAACAAATAGTTATAGCAAAAAACACGAGAGTATTATAATATAATAAAGTATGTTACAATGTCAAAAAGCACAAATATAGTAAATCACAACTGCTCTCTTCGAGTTTTCATTTTCTGAAAGAGATCTATTATAGTTTCATTTGTTACTGTTTCAAATATATCTCTTTCAATAAAGCAAACTAAACATTCACTGAGAAACTGATCACCAATTCCGTTACGCAAATTAGTCTTCACTATTTTCATAG